CCCTGACACTTCGTTCTCTGTATTACTTAGTAAAAAGGGTAGAAGAAGACACTCTTATTTCCCATAACAATTACCACAACACTGGGGGATATATATGTAAGAAGACCTTGACCTAGTGGAGCTGGAGGTGACAGGAAAAGAGAAGCCTTTATTCCCAGGCCTAACCTTGGACTTCCTCCAAGATATATAGATTTTATTTTTTTAAAGATTTTATTTATTTAGAGAGAGTGAGCAGGGGAGAGGGAGAGAGAAACTCAAGCAGACTCCATACTGAGTGGGAGCCCAACACAGGGCTCGAACTCACGACCCTGAGACCACCACCTGGGCGGAAACCAAGAGTCAGATGCTTAACTGACTGCGCCACCGGGTGCCCCAACAATTACTTTTATAATGTGAAACTTTATACTTATATATCACATTCTAAATACATTGTAAGTACAATCAGGTGTGTGTGTGTTAAACTCAAGGTTTTTTATACAAGGTACTCTCTATAGAAGTACTGATGAGCATAATAAATCACATCTGTGTTCCTTCCTATATTTAGTGCTGTCTTTAGTACTTAAAAATAATATCTTCTGAAAAAAATAATAATATCTTCTGTTTGCAAATCAAGGGTTACTTCAGGGTGCCTGGGTGGCTCAGTGGGTTAAAGCCTCTGCCTTCAGCTTAGGTCATGATCCCGGGGTCCTGGGATTGAGCCCCACATCAGGTTCTCTGCTCAGCAGGGAGCCTGCTTCCCCCTCTCTCTCTGCCTGCCTCTCTGCCTACTTGTGATCTCTGTCAAATAAATAAATAAAATTAAAAAAAAAAAAAAAAGGTTTACTTCACCGGCCAGTTAGCATCAGCTCATTTATTGTGGCTTGCTGAGGACCCACCAGGGGCCAGGCACGGAGTGGGAGACAGACAGATTGAACAGGAAGGCAGTCCCAGCAAATCTGCCCTCATGGGGATTATAGTCCCTTCATGGAAGCGGACGATCAGTTTTATAGGAAAGTATCATCAGCACGGTGTAAAATCACTAGATGGAGTGAAACCCCATCTGAGAGGTCAGGACATAACACACACGGTACAACAGCAGAAATCAGAAGAGTGGAAAGGGTTGGGGCTTGGGGAGGGCATCCCAGGCGGAGGGGGCTGCATGGGGTGGGGCAGCGACGTCCCCTCTGATGCAGGACAGGTGGCACATTTGATTGCGCTCCAGGAGGCAACAGGGGAGGAGAGAAGCTCTCAATGGACTGGAGAGATGGGCAGTGGCAGATCCTGGAGGGTCCTGTACGCCTCTCTGAGGAGTCTGAGCTTCGTTCTGCGGGAATCAGAAGCCCCTGCTGAGATTTGAGGTGGGGCTTTGACGCCACAAGGAGGCATTGCGGCAGACAGGTGGGAAATGGGTAGGTGGGGGCTGGTAAGGGCACAGTGGATAGAACAGCAGATGGAGGGCAGAGATGAAGCAGTCGGTGCTATTCTCCTGAAGCCTCAAGATCACAACCCTATGTGCCTTAAGGAGTGGGGAGCTATGAGCATGAAGCCCTTGGGAAACCTCCCAGGAACCGGTCATTGTCAGCAGCAGGCCTGTCTCCCCCATCTCTTGCTTTAAACCGCTGCTTTCTTACACTGTTCTGACACTCCCTTTGAGAGACTTCTCACCATCTTCAGTTCTTGGCTGCGCTGAGCCTTGAACATCTCCTACCTGTCCCTTAGATCAACCAGTACAGAGCCCTCTGGGGTCACAGGGGTCATGTGATGCATTTTATGTATTCACAGACATCTGTAGCCAGAGAGGATGGGGTCTTTTGTGAAGAGGGTCGTGTGGGCCTATGAATGCCATTGAATCTGCAGGCTGTCCCTTTGCCAGGGACAACCACTGAAGTGGGTAAATACACCAGTCATGGTAATGGTTAATCCATAACCCTCTGCGCTTCCTAAGGGATATTTTATTCACTTAAAACCCAGTACAAAAGCATGAAAAATGAGGGCAGGACAAACTATGAAAATACTGTAGTATGGCTCGTTATAATCCTCTCCTCTCTCCATTATTTTTGGTTTTTGTTTTTATTTTTGTTTTCTTTTATTCTGCTTATTTCCATCTCCATCTTTGATTAAAAAAAAAAGAAGAAGAACTTTTCTCAACCACAGTGTTATCCTTAGCTACCTGCTCATATTTAGGGGCTGGTATTTAAGTGCCGAGTGGAGGGGCGCCTGGGTGACTCAGTTAAGCATCTGCCTTCAGCGCAGGTCATGATCCCAGGACCCTGGGATTGAGTCCCCCATCGGGCTCTTTACTCAGCAGGGAGTCTGCTTCTCCTTCTGCCTGCCTGTGAGCTCTCCCTCCATCAAATAAATAAATAAAATCTTCAACAACAAAGACATAAAAAATGCTGCATGGAAGTTCTATGAGGGCAGAGTTTGTCAGTTGGTGGGACTGTCACTCCAGGAAGAGAAACCACCATGCCCGCTCCGGTGGAATTGTACACTTAGTGAGCTAGAATCCTAGCTATCTTGTTAGCCACAAGATTCCCTGCATCTAAAACATAGTGGGTGCTCGATAAATATTTGATGTTGTAAGGTAAACTTTTGGAGCCTCCATTCTCTCATCTGAAAATGGGGGATAAAAAATATTTATCTGAGGAGTGCCTGGGTGGTTCAGTCAGTTGAGCATCCAACTCTTGATTTCAGCTCAGGTCATGATCTCAGGGTCCTGGGATCGAAGCCCTGCATCGGGCTCTGTGCTCTACAGTCCACTTCTGTCTCCCTCTGTCCCTCCCACGCAGGTCACTCCCTCTCTAAAATAAATAAATCTTTTTTAAAAAATGTATCTGGCAGGTGTTCTGAGAAGAGATGGTAGATGGAAAGTACCTGGCACAGTGTTTAGTATTTAGCAGATTAGTTACAAATAATAGTAACAGGTAGCAATCATTGTTCTCGTTATTTCTAGGGGCAAGTATTTAGCAGATTAGTTACAAATAATAGTAACAGGTAGCAATCATTGTTCTCGTTATTTCTAGGGGCAACAGGGCAGCGGCTCCATGACCATCTGTGGTCACCAGTGGCGAGGCTAAATATAGAAGGCAGGCACAGTCCTTGTTGAGAGGCTAGTTATTATAGTACAAATCAACAAAGCAAGGAGAAGGCTCAAGATAATAGCCTCTGACATTCAATGTGTAGAAAGTCCAAGGACGTTCAGTTTTGGACTGAGTTGTGACTGAGAAGGAAGGCAGGTAGTGGCGCGGCATCACCAGAGAGCTCCGGAACAGCCGTCCACGCAGAATGCTCTTCTCCTGCTCCGCTCAGGCTGTCAGGGGCAATTTGAGCAGTAAAGGCCCTGAAGGAGAGTAAAGAGTATGCCAAGCCTGCCTCAAACCCTAGCCCCTGCCCATACGGCAGGCAGGCTGACGGATTATCTCTTTTGGAATAGGTTTAAAATACAGGTCTATAGTTTAAAAGAGAAAAAACATTCAGACAGTGCAAGAGGATACTTGCAGAAAGATGGAAAGGTCAGGATCACCCCCAAAACCTTCAGGCAGATACTCACTCTTATGGCTCAGCGATCTTTTTATGCACAGACAGGAATATATGCATATCTGTTCACAGATGGGCTCATAAAATAGTTTGGAAATGAGCCTCGCCCCACACACTTCACTTACCCTGAATATCTTTGCATATCAGTCTCCATAGACTTACCTCCTTATTTTTAACGAATATTCTATTCATTAAGATATTGTAATCCATACGCTCTCAGATCTGGATGGCTTAACAAAAGTGAGGTTTATTTGTCACTTACTAAATCCAGCGGGTGGCAGGGAATGTGTGTGCAGGGAGGCGGGGAAGTGTTCTGATCCTAGCACTGATTCAGGGATCCAGGATGACCAAGGCCCTGCCAACTTCAACATGTGACTTCCACACGGTGGCTTGTGAGGTCACCCTGGGTGTTGATATCCAGCAGGCAGATGGGGAAAGACAGTGTGCAGGAAGGCAAGGTTTGTTTTATATGAGCCAGGCCTGGAAGAGACGTGTAGCACTTCTGCCCACATTCCACTGGCCAGAATTAGATTCTCTGCCTGAGACCAGTACTAGGCCCTGTCCTGGCTGGCCAGCTGCTTCCTACAGCTGGACACTGTGGAGGAAATGCAGAAACCTTAGATTGGCAGTTAGCTGTTCTCTGCCATAGACAGCTGGAGAAATACATCCTCATTTATTTAAGCTTCAGGAGGCTGGCCTACCTCTTCTCTCTTTTCTGCTTATCTTTTGTCAAAGGCAAACTGTAAACTATGGAAAACCATTACCTGGGAAGGGTACGTACACCAGTTCAGACGTGGTAGGGGTAGGGAGGAACACTACCAAGGAAAAGCCTTTAAAAGATGTGTATCTTTGACCCAAGAGCACATCTAAGGACATGTCCTGGGAAATTAGTGGATGACTGCTCACACTGCATGTACGAGGAAAACTGGAAGCCAGCTAGGTGCCCGACATTAGAGACATGTATGCACTTACGATGCCTCCATATAATGGAATACAGGTGGTTAAAATAATTGTGTAGATACCTGCAAACACAAAAATATGTCCATCTTATGATAAAAGACTCCTAAACAGTATAAGTAAATTTTTTTAAAATAAATTGGTTACTTGTAGCAAAAAGGCTAGAGAATGTACATTAAAATGTTTACAATATTTACCCATGAGTAAGACATTAAAATGTTTACAGTATTTATTCTGGGGCAAGAGATCTATTTCCTTCTGTTACACATTGATATAATGTCTGAATGTTTTATCCTTAGAAAAAACAGCAAAGCTATTTTCAGCTTGAAACGAACAAAAAAATGTAGATAAAGGCCACAGGAGCTTAGGTGACTGAAAGTGAGTCTGCAAGTCAGACCTGGCCTCCCAGACCCTGTGCGTCAGGCTGTCACCCGACACTCAAGTGGCTGTCATGAGCACTTTTCTCTGTTGAAGAGACTGGCTTTCGTCAGGCCGATCCCAGGTTATAAAGGAAGAGAGGAGAATGGGGCTCTGGGCAATCCACCTCCCCCAGGGTAGCCCCTCAGCGAGTCAGTGGGCTGGGGCTCTCTGTGCCTCCACCCTCTGCATGGGGAACGCCATCCGGGCCCTGGTGGCCTTCGTCCCCGCCGACTGCTGCCAGAGCTACCTGGTCAGAGACCTCCGGGAGATGCCGAAGGACAAGATGGTGGATCTGAGTGGGAACCAGCTCCGCCGCTTTCCCGTGCATGTGTGTTCCTTCCGGGAGCTGGTCAAGCTCTACCTGAGTGACAACCACCTCAACAGCCTGCCTCCAGAGTTGGGGCAGCTCCAGAATCTGCAGATCTTGGCCCTGGATTTCAACAACTTCAAGGCTCTGCCTCAGGTGGTGTGTACTTTGAAACAGCTCTGCATCCTCTACCTGGGTAACAACAAACTTTGCGACCTCCCCAGTGAGCTGAGCCGGCTCCAGAATCTCCGGACCCTGTGGGTCGAGGCCAACTGTCTCACGCAGCTGCCAGATGTGGTCTGCGAGCTTAGGCTCCTTAAGACTCTGCACGCCGGCTCCAATGCCTTGCGTCTGCTGCCGGCCCGGCTCCAGTGCCTCCGGGAGCTGCGGACCATCTGGCTCTCAGGCAACCTGCTGACCGACTTCCCCGCTGTGCTGCTGCACATGCCCTTCCTGGAGGTGATCGATGTGGACAGGAACAGCATCCGTTACTTCCCCAGCCTGGCCCACCTGTCGGGTCTGAAGCTGGTCATCTATGACCATAATCCTTGCAGGAATGCACCCAAGGTGGCCAAAGGAGTGCGCCGTGTGGGAAGATGGGCCGAGGAGACGCCAGAGCCTGACCCCAGAAAGGCCAGGCGCTATGCCTTGACCCAGGAGGAAAGCCAGGATGGAGAGGCACCTGCCCTGCCTTCTCTACTTCTTCCTCCCAACTCCTGAATGCTTCAGTTGTCAGTCGAGGCCAAGGACACAACTCTGGTGTCTTCTGGAGACCTTCTGGAGACCTCTCCTTTAGAGTGCAAAGGATTGCTTGGGGACATGTGGGGTGCCTTTGCAAAAAACTTCTGGCCAACATCTCTACCAAAGCGAAGCTGTGTGCTCTGGGGAGCATGAGGACTTCTTTGCAAGAAAATCAACTTCTCCAAACAGATATTTTGAAACACTGAAGATCAAGAAGTGCTAGGACATTTTGTCCTTCTCCCTCTCCAGAAATGGCTGGTCACGATGCTCATGACCTCCTCGAATAAGGTATTTATTAAAGAATTCACCCGAGTTCTGGTGGCCTGGCTCCAGCTCTTTGCAGGGTAGATTGGTGTTACTGTGAATGACCATAAGTGATATGAAAATATTGCTAATTCAGGTCACTTTTTAAAAGACATTTCTACCTAGTCAGACTCAGAGACTCCGTGCTGTTGCAAAGGCTCAAGATGAAGCTTTTTCCCTGCAGCTCATTGCATGCCAAGAAGACCCCTGATGGAAAATGCCTCCTGATGGAGTCTGGTTGCCACTTCACACTTGACAGAGGTTCACGCTGACTGAGCTGGTTTATCCCTAAGGGGTTTGACCCAAGGTCTGCTCTCAACTGCTTACTGTTACTACAATGCTAGAAGTCATCCAGACAGTAGACAACGTGGTCTTATCAAAATCAAGCCCAGTTGTAATCCTGCCTGCCTTTGTAGAGCACAGCCCTTCTGTTTACTCACATTAATGAACCAGAGCAGAACTGAATCCCATTCCATTGAGGGAAACCACATTTCCAGAGCCATATTAGAATAAAGGTAGTAGGTGAAAAAGGTTTACTTGAAACAAGCATCTGGAAATCTGAGTTGCAGGTTGTGGTATACATAGGACACTTCTGACTCTAGCCGTAGCTTCTCAGCCTTTGTTCTGATTTGTTTTGATTTTTGTAGATAGGGACTTTTGATGGTCAGTGTAGAGCTTAGATATTTTGGCTGTTTTTTAATATGTAAATTGTGAACTTTCCTTCTTCCCACAAATACATCAACCTTAAAGATGCTGCTGTCACAATGGGTGATTTAATATAGTACTTAATGTTCTTGAACCTTTCCGTCAAGGACACAAAATGTATTATCTTTACTAAAATGGTTTTGTTTCGTTTTTAGTTACTTTTGCTGTACAAGCATCTTTACCCAGCAAAGTCTGGTCCTAAAATGACACTGCACAGACTATTTTCATGTGTTTTCCTACTATAAATATTTCTTGCTAAACCAGAGGAAGTTTGGTATCACAATCTCTTCCTATTGCTACCTCCCACTATGCAGAATATCTACAACCCACTGATTAGACTGCCAAGAGATCCTTTTAATCATTCAATGTCATAGGCTATCAAATATTTAAGTCCTTTAGTAACCAATCCAGATTTCTATTAGGCAGCTAGGATTTACAGTTTATTTTCTCATGTTTGACTGAAATCAAACTATACTCAGCTGATGCTAGAAACCTTATGCCAACAGAACTGCCTTCTGGACTATATCTATAGTCAGCCTTATAGATGGCTCATTTTCTTTTGACCCTGTCTTCCTCCTCCTGAGATTAATGGGCCCACCTTTTCCAATACAGCTGTAGGCTGCAGCCATCAAACAAGTGTGACACCAGCTGACGTGTACACACTGCTCATCTAATGAGCTAACTGCTCTGAACTGAATGCAAATTATAAACATTTGGCACACAGTCAAGAGATTGTCTTCTAATATACAACAAACATTTTTCAAACAGTATGTTTAAGATTTCACCACTGATTTAGCTACCCAAAAATGTTTTTGCTACAGGATTTCAATTTTATAAAGTAACCATGTAAATGCATATTAACAGTTCCACAACCCACTGATGTTTTCTTGAAATTCTGACGTAATTAGAAAGTTCAAAAGGGGAGAAAGCACCACCAAATATAACTTTTTTCTTCATAATTTTAGAAGTCCCCAAACCCAAAAGGTTATGTATCAGGAGAAAAATCTTTTTAAGATTGATTTGAGAGAGAGCACACAAGTGCACACATGGGGTGGGAGGGGCAGAAGGAGAGAGAATCCTAAGGAACTATTACTAAACAAGATTGATGGGATGGAAGGAATCAAGAGAGTACTGAGACAGCCAGATACGTAGGCTATGAGCAGCAGTCACCACTCATGAGGCTAGATGAACAGGGAACAGCAATGTTATCCTAATTTCCCAAGAGCTAAAAGACATGAAGAAAGGGGCTACCAGCAGAACAGCACTGATAGGTCTCACAAGGATGCAGACATTTCCAGAGACAAAGAGCAAAAGCAGGAAGAAAATACCAATTCCCTATCTCCACATCCTGCCCGTGCCTCCTGAAGTTAAACCACAGGAATCTGAGAGGCAGTCAGCAAGGAAAGTGGGCCAGTGGCCTCCAAGCAGGCAAAAAACGGATCCTCGCTTGAAGACAGTAAAAGGAGAATAAAGAGTATACATATTAACCTTCAAAGAAAAACTGAAAGCTACTTAGAATAGACTTAAAAATCCCAAGAACTTAGACAATTTTTCATGTGGTTACTATTTACATTCCAAATCTCTACTTCAATGTCACAAGTTTTGTGAAAAACTCGTTGCTGCCATATTTACGGTTTCTGAGTTATAAGAAACTCCATCCTAAAATTCTTACAGGAATATGGGGGCCTATGCTGATAATTAAGTTCTGGTTGAGGAGACATTAAAATTCATGATCATGAGATAGTCTAGGTTTATGATAACAATGTAAGGGCTTCAAAGGTTATGAATTACAAAGAGGATAAGAGGCATGGGTGTATCCTTGGATGTAACAACGAAGCTCCCATGTTTCCACCTCTTTTTAGATTAATACTTAAAGGTGTATTCTTTTTAAGACCTCTGGAGAAAACATGCCCAAGTATCCTTTTAAGATCTTACACCAGACTATCTAGTACTCTCAGCACAGATGCTTAAACCTACTTCTACTGAAACCTCTGTAGGTTTTCTTGGTCGTGATATGCTCACCTGTTCCACTGGAGGTGTGGAGATGAAAAATGATGTTATGACGTGATAAAGTACTTAAAAAAAATCAGTACAATTCTCTTTGATAATCTCAGGAAGTTTCTCCTTTATGTGAATATTGGAGGACATACATACACCAGGACCACAAAAAAAACACAAGTTTTCCCAGTTTTAATAGCTTCTACAAAAGTAGTATTATAAAGTTCAAACTTTTTGGACAAAAACAAAACAGATTGGGGGCGCCTGGCCAGCTCAGTCGGTAGAGCATGTGACTCTTGATCTCAGGGTCATGGGTTCAAACAGCCCTATGTGGAGCCTCCTTTAGAAAAACAAACACAACAAAACAGGTTGTTTTATCAGCATTTCTTTGGAAAATCCTTTTGCTCCTCTATGGGAATAAAATATCTCTCCATTAGGTAGCAGAGATACCTTGTAAGAACTCAACCAATGGCTAGGCTTTCTCATTTCTTGGACATTCTGCTATACACTGACGCATTAATAACCTCCAAACCTGGGGCGCCTGGGTGGCTCAGTGGGTTAAAGCCTCTGCCTTCGGCTCAGGTCATGATCCCAGGGTCCTGGGATCGAGCCCCACATCAGGCTCTCTGCTCAGCGGGGAGCCTGCTTCCTTCTCTCTCTCTGCCTGCCTCTCTGCCTACTTGTGATCTCTGTCAGATAAATAAATAAAATCTTTAAAAAAACAAAAACAAAAACACCTCCAAACCTAAATTCACCTTTAAACCATTAACTCAGTACAAAGCTATCCCTATTCCTACTCTTTCTTGAATCCATTTGCCAAAAACAAAAAAATCCTAAACCAACAATGTCTAAATCTAACCACATCCATCTTCTTTAAGTGAGAGGATATTACCCGTTAAAGCATAAAAGATGCTTGAGAAGCAGCCTGTAACAACTTTTAAAACAGGACTCTTTCAACCCTGAAGTAACAGAAACCACAATCATTTTGTCCTATGTTAACAGACAGTATTTAGACAACACAAAATTAAATTGGGAACTAAACTTTAAGATACTTTCACTAAACAAAATTAAACAGCTAATAAAGGTTACATATGATTACAAACCAAGAGATTAATCTATGTTTATCACATCTGACTTGGACTTGACAAGATCATTATTTCATAAATGTGTAAGATCAACCAATAGTTAAGCCGAACAACTCCATACTGAGAGGGTACAATCACTTGCTCCCATTAAATAAAAAAGTACAAATAAGAACAATTAATTGTTCAAATTTTTATTTTGATGCACAGTATGAGAAATGAACTTTTAAATCAACTGAATTTTATGGAAAATGAAACAGTAAATAAATTAGACCCATGTTAAAATAGAAGGCCAGTTAAATGTCCAAACTTAAGGATATAAGAGCCACAGATAAACTTCGATTCCACAGTCTTCTTTAAAAGGTCGAAGTCTTTCAAACACAACTCTGCTATGAACTAACTGGTCCAGAGCTCAACAGCACATGGGAATGTTTAACAGGGGTGATGATCAGGGACACGTTTCCTGCAAGTATTACAAAACAAACATTTAAGAAAACGCAATGATAAAATTAAAAAGCATGATTGTAACCAAAGGTTTATATAAAATACAAACACAGATGAAATCCTAAATTTTATCAAAACCATCATAACCAATTCTTTAGAGCAAGTATGTTTCTACCTCATTACTAACATCCCTCAATTATTACTATACTAGTAAAAAAAAAAAAAACAGTACAGAATCTGTGGAATGTGAAGACCTGTAGGTATTTAATAATTTTCAACTTCTCATCCAAACACCCTATTTAACAAATACATATTCTCCAGAAAAAGATTAATTCATGTTTTCAACTAATATGTTAGGGCATTTTACTAGATCAGTCAAAGACAAAGAGAGTTTACTCTTAATCAGAAGTTGTAGAATGACAAGGCTTTGGGGCCTCTAGATGAGAATCTCTGTATCACTTTTCTAAATGAATGAAAATGAATGCCAGTAGATAGGCTAATGACAGGGTCAGGTAACTCACCTAAGAATGAAAACACTGCTCTTCACGTACATCTTAGATGTTAAACTTTTATTCTTTGGTGAGGAGGCATGGCAGGGTACTAGAGAATTTTTTTACTTTACACCTAAATAAGCACTGCTTCTAGAGTCAAGTATAATAATCATTTTAAGAGAAGCAAAAAAAGTGTAAAAACAAATTCAGAGAGTACAGCATACTGGAACCATATAAAGAAAAAGATCTTCCAACCCTGGAAGCTTATGGAAATATAATTAAGGATGCTAAAAGATACCAATACAGAAAAAGTTCTCCAGCAGCTATCAGAGGGCAACTAATCTGGAAAATGAGTCCAAAAGAATCCTTTGGGAAGGTTGAGTTAAACACAATTACCCATGTTT